CCGACGTTGTCACAATATGATTGGCAGAGCCCAACAAGCACAGCGATTGCTGTAGAGTGTTCAATAATTCCTCGTTAGAAATCGTGGCCTGATGTTCAAGGCGGTCATGTAGGCAACAAAGAGGGCCTGCTGAGTTTAGTAGTGCACGTTGAATAAGCGCCAAATCTTTGTCGCGTTGTTCGACGAATTTTTTGCGATTAGCGGGAATGTAATTTAAAATCTGTTTGTCCAGTAAAGGAGCATTACAAGCGTCGATCTCAGGGAGAGAATTGTCTCCGATAATTTCGTTAACTTGGTCTAATGTTAGGCGTCTGCGCAAGTTTTTCTCAAGAAATTTGCCAAAGTGGTCTGAGGGAGACCATCGTCGTCGAGCGGAGCTCTCAGGGTCAAAAAACTCGCAAGAAGCTTCTTCAGCCGAAACGACAGTGTTCGGGTTAAATTTATCGTTTATATTTGTCGGCTCAGCGCCGTCTAAAGGTGGCATAGAGCCAACTAAAGGTGCCTCAAAGGCCGAGTTGTTGTCGAATTCCTTCGGCGAGTCCGATGGGTGAATTGACAATTGATCATCGTCGAATTCGCCAAGACCTGCTGAGGTTGTGCTAGCATTGTCGCTCAATTTCGACTCAATGGCCGATACACGAGTGGTCCAAGCCACAAATTGTTGCTTCATATCGTTGACACTCTCGAGGATTTTGGTCAAAGTTTCCTCGTTAACACGAGCTTCGGTGTTATTTTCCCGCCTTCGTTTGTGGCGATGAGCTCGATTTTCCGAGTCTTTTGGCGAAGATTTTTCGCTGGGAGAGGACATATGATCACTACGATGACGTTTCCGAGTTGAATTATCAGACATCCTAGAAAACTAAGGCTTGAAGGCAAGATAAAAACGTGAAATAAACGTAAAGACTTACCGTAAAAATGCAGAGTGTTACACGTGAGTGAGCACGGAAGAAAAAGCCGATGAGGCGCCGGGGGGGCACGTACTTATAGGCCGAGTCATGTGACCCGGGCTTGTTTTCTTTTTCTGTTCTCTTCATTTCCGGTTCCGGAAACGTTGAAATGTGAGTTAGAGCACGGTAAGACAAGCTTTACCATTTGTTTTCCCATATATTTCGACCGGAGTTTGTGAAGTATAATTAATAAAATATATGCACCTCAGTATAGACTCCTAAACACCATATGTTAAAAGCTATAAGCCCCGTTTACACTACACTTGATTTAATGGGTACGCTTGCCCATTTTAGCTGTGCCGTGCCGATAAATTGACTGTAGTGTTAAAGGGACTTTAGCAGCTATAATCACTAATTGCTATATGAACGTAGACAAAACAATTAAGCCATGTAAGCAAACTATAACTCAATAACGCAAGCCAAGATCTTTAAAAACTCAACAGGGGTTAGACCTAAATTAACAATCTTATCAGGTTTTTCAAGGGTAAATATGCCTGTAATCCGTGAGTTAGGTTGCATGGCTTAAAGTAGCTTATATAGACCGGGAGCCCAGAGGGTCGAGCCTAGCTGGAAAGCAAACCAATTTTAATGCACATAGTGATGTTCTACATGCGTACGACTATACGAAAATGAACGTCTGCAGGGGATAGGTTGGTGGGCGTGGTTAGGATGGTAGATCCACATCAAAATTCCATGCATTTGCTATGTGTTTCTTGTCCTTTTTCAGTCAATTGTGGTAATTACAATGTACATGTCACTATCTTTTTGATAATTTGTGTTATACGTGTAGGTTGAATTTGTAAAAGATGCTAACAAACGGAGGAAGATAGACTATAGAACATCAAGTTCATTGAAACGTGTGGTATGCATCTAACAAATAATAAAATATTGCAGCAGTAGCATGCAAATACGCATATATATATATATATATATATATATATATATATGTATATATATATATATATATATATATATAAATATATATATATATATATATATATATATATATATATATATATATATAGTTCTGGTGAAATTTTAGGTCAGTGAATGGTATGAAAGAAGCAAAGTTCCAGCATTAGTTTTGCACTGGAAAAATGGCACACTCCATTCTTTGTGTAAGTCATAAAAAGAATTCCAAAACTATTAACATTTTTTTAAGTAATGTTCCTAGTCTAAACAAACCTGGAACATGATGCACACCCTATGCAATTTATTTAGGTCCTCCTAATCTTGAACAAGTCTTCACCAGTTTTGTTGAAGATCCATCTGTGGGTGAAAAGTTCTCTAGATCGTTTTTGCAGATTTTTTCTTCACGTATGTAATAAATGTTAATAATCATATGATATATATGTTAATGTTAATCATCATATGATATATACACTTATCAACAAAATGATGAAAATGACCATGGCATTTTTACCCAATGACCTTGTTTCTATGTTATATTATTGTAGCATGTCAGAGATACTGTAGATATTGGTAAAATTTGCCTTTTTTATTGGACAAATTTTCTTGCTGATTTAGGCTGACTAACAAAGTAATTTTCAAACATACTAACATGAAACATTAGTAAATATTTAACAAAAAAGAAAAGTGAGTGACAGGTACAGTATGTATGGTCATTTGTGCTATTTTTCAGGTTATTTTCAGTTGATTATCATTACCGGCACCACTCCTGGATAAAACTTTTGGATTATAATACAATTGTTCTATTCTCAACAGGACAGAATGTGCCATCAACATCACATCCTTCTGCAAAACCAAGCATACCTATCATGAGTGATTACACCCAGTTAAATACTGAAACTCTGAGGAAGTTTGTGTCATCTGCAGTGCAAGATTCAGTAACTTTTGGTACTGTTTTTCTTTGAAAAAATTGTTTATTATATTAATGGTAAACCTTTAGTGGTATACTATAATGTGCTATCACTGTATCTTATAGGAACTCGAATTAAATGGACTGAAATAGGTTACAAGCCCCAGTGGTGGCCAGAGGATGTTATTTGGAGAAATCCAAGTAACAAGTCTGCAGCAGGACCAAAAATGAAATCTGCAGAGCTGGCATTGGTTTTGTCTGCATACCGAGATTGGTATGAATCCAGTGTGCAACCAGGTGCAGGACCATCACATATATCGCTCTTATTTTGAAAGAAAATGAAGAAAACGTATGTAGCTAAATCAAATTATTGTATAGTCTTACAAGCATGATTTTGTAAAGGAATTTAATTGGTTTTCTATATTATGGTTGAGACTCCCACTAAGATGCCTAGTACTTGCAGTACACCCTCACCTGTGGTTAATCTGTAACAAATGACCATTGAATTTTTCCTTATTTTTTGAACTTCATTTGCATTGTTATTTTTTAAGATAAATGTTTGAAATTTTGTACAGTAATGATAAATTTAAGTGCCTTTTATTATTCATTATATCTCTAGAGTACAATGAGCTTTTCTGATGAAGAATACTGCAGCAATGTCTTGTCTGTTTGTCAAAAGTTATCCTGGAGGGCTCTTGAGATATGTGCCCCCGTTATAATTGGAAAGATGTGCAGTGACGATGAAGCCGCTATACATGAGCCATATCCGCATAACTACATTGGCTTAGAAAGGCTTGATAAAAGGTAATGCCAAGCACAGGGGCAAAAAGGCAGTAGGGGCTAGTATTAACTATGTGGAGTGGAAGTTTAAAATCATCTCAAATGAGTTTTTTTTCCAGACTTTATAGTTTCATTCCACCATTCAATACAATGTTGTGTGAGGATGGAACAGAGTTAGAACCATTCCAAGCGAGTTCTTTTGGTAATTGCTTTTGGTGTACTCTTTCCATACATCTGGCAGGGAATGAAAGCAAACAGAATTTTCTTCGCTTGGCCTCTGCCCTAAACGGGGTGGTTATTGTTAAGGTACTGTGTGATCATCCTTTTTCACGCGGCGAATATAAAAGGGCGTCAGCTTACCCCAAAAAACGCATAGCACTTCAGAAGAGATATTTATCATTTTGTGCTTTCAGTGAAGTAATAGACGTTCAGTTTTAATGCATTTGAAAGGTTAATATATTGACAAATATATTATGTAAACTTGACAGCATAACAACAAAATTTGGAATGACATGCGCTCCATGAAAACGGTTTATAATGAGTTTGAAAAACGATCTTGTTGAACATGTTTTTTATTATAGATATTTGAACAGTGTATCACGTTTGATGATGCTTTGCAATGGTCGAAAACTGTTTGCAGTACAGAAGACACGTCTGAAACCACAATTATGGAGGTTGTTCATGAAAGTTATGTTTCTGAAGTTAAGGAAACATTCAGAAATTTTAGGGACAGTGGTATGATCACATTCATTTACATCAATTTTGCGTTATATCAGAGATCTTCTGCCGTTCCCCTTATATGGTAAATTATTCGTGGGCGTAATGACGTACGGAGGTGGCTAAGCCAACAAGACATGAATCCTTGACTAGTATAATTTCATTGTTTTATTCATTTTCAAGGCTATTACAGGTGTATTTGGCCTCCAATTATTTAAAAAGACCGATCAGGCAGTTTTGTTTGCTTCCTGGTGCCGACCATTATCGCAGTCGCGTAGAGCCTTTGCAGCGGCAGAATGAGGAAGAGAAGAAAAAAGCATTAGATGTCTTGTGGGTTCCTCTTACGGTTGAGCATGGGCAACGTAATCAATACAATCACATTGTGCCTTTGTTAGCTTGGAAATGTGGAGCAGCACCATATAAATTGTGCATGTTCAACAGTAATATGAACCTACATTTTTCAAATTTAAAATCAGACTTGGCACAATGTGATTTGTGTCAGGAGTGGTATCACGCCTGCTGCCTTGGCCAATCTATACGCCACATCAATAGAATGGAGAGATTTAGTTGTGGCTGTGATGCTTTACCTGGAGATGCTAAACAAATAACTACAAAAAATGCGTACCTTATATACTGAATTATGGGCAGTTTTTTCATCGTTCTAGGAAAATCTGTAACTAGGTTCTTCACTGCTAATAAATTTTTATCTCTTCAATCTTTAGGAAGATATACAATGATATGGACATGTTCGAAAGATGTTTATCAAAGAAAGAACTGAAGGTCTTAAGATTTCCAGACATGGACATGTCATTTTGGTAACACACTGAACTATATGATTGTTAATTTTCATTTTCATGTAATTTTTAAGATGATAGCAAAGAACCTTAAGAGGAACGTAATTCCGTACTTGAGGGCAGGAGCTTCTTCTCATGCCATCTCTTCCTCAGAGGACATGAAGATATATCTGAAGTCTCTCGATTATGGGCCCGTCATGTCATCTAATATGGTAACCGAATACTCATTTAGTATTTTCTCTTCTCTGCCAATATATTCTTCATCAAATTCTTCCATTCGTGACCATTGAAAGCAAAGTTTTCATGTTTGTGATGATGTAATTATAGAAAATAGTGTACAGTACAATTTATTACTACCATATTGTATAAATACACAGGTACAATCACTATTTGACGCTTATCTTCCTGTTGTAAATGGAATTCGGATTGAAGATGCTAACACATTCCTTCAAGATGTGCTTCTTCCCGAGGTAATCCATGTTTTTAGAATCTTCCATTTGCCCTTCACTCTCGCTTTTCACATTTGAGTCTCTTTTCTTGAATGCTCTTTGCTCTAACTACAAATAGTTAATGTGTAGTGCAAATATTGATTCAAGCGTGTAACTATTACTATTTTTAGGCTATTGTACAGGTAATCCGCAAGGCAGAGGGTCTAAACTATTTTAGAGCATGGTTGTTCTATGCCAAATGCAAGTTGCATTCCTGTCCGCAATTGAACGTATAAATAAAACTGAGACACTAGGTTATATAGTTAGTTTGTATATACGATATAGTATGTATGATGTATTTTGAATGAACGTTTCGAGTTTACATTGTTTGCCTATTGCACTTCACGATCAATCTCTGATTCCGTGTACGTCCATTTCATGCACTTTGCCTGTTCACACTACTGATGTTTTTTGTGTGGCACGGATGAAATTCGTACCGCCAGTTTTATCTGTGTTAGCTTTGTACATGCAAATAAGTAACGCAATCATTAATAAAAATGATACAGGTAAATATTTGTATAATACGTGCCTTACCAAAGAATTGGTGCCTATAGCATAAACGGGTTGATTTTCTCTTTCGCACTTGTGTGGACGGGGTCTAAATGGTGCACCAAACAATGCATTTTACTTTCAAGGGCTGGTTGTAAAACAGCCATATTTGGTATTTAAATCGTTAACTCCAATATACTCGATTCGTTTAATACAACAACCCTAAGGTGAACGTGCATGCATGATATTCGATAGCGATTTCCTTGATACGCATATCGAAGTTGTAATTGACTATGCGCCCCCCCCCTAATTATCGAAGCCCGTATGCGTTGCGTTGATAAGAACGTTCACACGATAGAAAAAAAACCAAAACTTTATTTGAAGAGGTTTGAAAAGCTTTAAAAATTTTGTCTGGCCAACCATTATATGTTAATGGTGTGAGTTAGATTTTCACGCACAATCTGAGGCTTTTCAGTTCATAATTATTTAAGTTAGAATTACTGAGTTTGAATGTAGTTTCACAGTTAATCAAAAATGCTTTCTAATATCATAAAATATGATTCAGATTTGTCATTTCATTCGAGAAACTAGTTACTTCCGTTGAACATTTCAGTGTAAAAGACTCATCAGCCCATGGTTAATAATTCCAGAATCTGGGTACATGTAACCATGGTTCATTTTTACGGTGTTTGGTGGAAAAAGCTTTCAAATATCATAGAATATGATTCAGATTTGTCATTTCATTCGAGAAACTAGTTACTTCCGTTGAACATTTCAGTGTAAAAGACTCATCAGCCCATGGTTAATAATTCCAGAATCTGGGTACAAGTAACCATTCGTAAGTATTAAGTCGCAAAGTTCCATTTTTTTAACATATAAGGTTTCTGTTGCAATACTTCGGGTATAAAAACCGTCATTTCATTTCCAGGGTTCACAATGACTGCATCATGTTTACTACATGGTGCACGCGTATCTTGTTACGCATTATAGCTACAACTGATACGATAGCGCTCCACAGGATGAAAGGAAATACGAATGTTAGAAATAATGAGTTAGAATGTAGGTGGGTATAACAGAACGAATCTAGTTAATAAAATACGGTAATATGAAGTTGCTTGCATGATGGTAATCACAGTTTCCAATATTTTATTGTTTCAGCATGGAAATTGGCACAGAAACCAAATGCAAGGTTATGCCAGCCCAGAATCTGGGTACAGTTAACCATGGTCATTTTTACGGTATTTCGTAAAAAATGCTTTCTAATATCATAAAATATGATTCAGATTTGTCATTTCATTCGAGAAACTAGTTACTTCCGTTGAACATTTCAGTGTAAAAGACTCATCAGCCCATGGTTAATAATTCCAGAATCTGGGTACATGTAACCATGGTTCCTTTTTACGGTGTTTGGTGGAAAAAGCTTTCTAATATCATAGAATATGATTCAGATTTGTCATTTCATTTGAGAAACTAGTTACTTCCGTTGAACATTTCAGTGTAAAAGACTCATCAGCCCATGGTTAATAATTCCAGAATCTGGGTACAAGTAACCATTCGTAAGTATTAAGTCGCAAAGTTCCATTTTTTAACATATAAGGTTTCTGTTGCAATACTTCGGGTATAAAAACCGTCATTTCATCTCCAGGGTTCACAATGACTGCATCATGTTTACTACATGGTGCACGCGTATCTTGTTACGCATTATAGCTACAACTGATACGATAGCGCTCCACAGGATGAAAGGAAATACGAATGTTAGAAATAATGAGTTAGAATGTAGGTGGGTATAACAGAACGAATCTAGTTAATAAAATACGGTAATATGAAGTTGCTTGCATGATGGTAATCACAGTTTCCAATATTTTATTGTTTCAGCATGGAAATTGGCACAGAAACCAATGCAAGGTTATGCCAGCCCAGAATCTGGGTACAGTTAACCATGGTCATTTTTACGGTATTTCGTAAAAAATGCTTTCTAATATCATAAAATATGATTCAGATTTGTCATTTCATTCGAGAAACTAGTTACTTCCGTTGAACATTTCAGTGTAAAAGACTCATCAGCCCATGGTTAATAATTCCAGAATCTGGGTACATGTAACCATGGTTCCTTTTTACGGTGTTTGGTGGAAAAAGCTTTCTAATATCATAGAATATGATTCAGATTTATCATTTCATTCGAGAAACTAGTTACTTCCGTTGAACATTTCAGTGTAAAAGACTCATCAGCCCATGGTTAATAATTCCAGAATCTGGGTACAAGTAACCATTCGTAAGTATTAAGTCGCAAAGTTCCATTTTTTTAACATATAAGGTTTCTGTTGCAATACTTCGGGTATAGAAACCGTCATTTCATTTCCAGGGTTCACAATGACTGCATCATGTTTACTACATGGTGCACGCGTATCTTGTCACGCATTATAGCTACAACTGATACGATAGCGCTCCACAGGATGAAAGGTAATACGAATGTTAGAAATAATGAGTTAGAATGTAGGTGGGTATAACAGAACGAATCTAGTTAATAAAATACGGTAATATGAAGTTGCTTGCATGATGGTAATCACAGTTTCCAATATTTTATTGTTTCAGCATGGAAATTGGCACAGAAACCAAATGCAAGGTTATGCCAGCCCAGAATCTGGGTACAGTTAACCATGGTCATTTTTACGGTATTTCGTAAAAAATACTGTCTAATATCATAGAATATGATTCAGATTTGTCATTTCATTCGAGAAACTAGTTACTTCCGTTGAAAATTTAAGTTCATATATATAGCAGCTAAAGCCCACGTTGTGCGTGAGAATCGAACTCACACCATTAGTTAAACGGCTACCCAGACACAACTTTGCAGGCTTCCTAAATGCTTTTGCGAGTGGATGTGTTGCATGGTTTTAGATTTGATACGTCGGTATATATTCTTATTGAATGACAACTTGTGTCAAGTAAATCTAAACAAGATATATTGACTCCTTAAAGAAATCTGTGCCACCAAACTTATAATTCATAGAGGTTATTACGCTATAGGGTATTGGTGTGAAACACTCATATAGCAAGCGGTGGATCAAATGTTACAATCTTAATATACCGTGCATGTGTTTCATCCGAAAAGGAATGCATGGTGATTAATAATGAAAATAATTATACAAGGAGCCCTTTATTTTTGAAGCGTTACGTTTTATACACATTCAACTGACACTTATACGTCACTATCCTTCGTATTTACATTATTACACTAATTATTAATTCATCTGTTAATATTTCTCATCATAATTTCTCTATTTTTGAACCATAAGTAGAAGCTACAGTGTCTGGAGAAATTTTCGTCATTCATATAAGAAAGGGGTCCTTTAATTTTTTTCAGTCCAGAGTTGCTTTGTTCGGCAATCTGACTGTTGAGATAGTCATAGTCAGGATAGCAAGAGATATGGTAGGCGCTGGAACAACCTTGATAATGAATAAATACAGTGTATAAAAATACTGCGCGTACACTGTACAATACTATACACGCACATCCTATACAAGCACTAGTCACATGCATAAATTCTCGATATCACGGATACAGTTGCTATTTCTTACCTGTGTGATCTGCCCAGTGAAGGCGATCTACTAAAAATTGCGTGTCTTTAAAAAAGGTTGGATCACCATTCAGACAGTAGGAATGCAAATTACAAGCATTATCGTATACAACGACTCTAGGAGCTACAAAAAGAGCGATAAACCATTGTTATTAATAAAAAGATGCAGGTTATTGTCTTATGACATGACAAGTCAGTTGAGGAAAAGTGAACCTTTTTTTGTAATGTGAGTATATACTTTGGAATAAATGATAAATATAAATTTCCGCAACTGAGCAATACCACTTTGACTATTTTCTTAAGGATAACCATCACACGTTCACAGTGTTACCTCGTGTAAATCGAGATCGCAAGATTGTAAATGGCATATCTGGGGATTCGTTAGTAGTCATTACGGAGTATCCATAGTTTATACCTGAAAAAATTATCATAAATTTGTTGTGAGAACTAATATCGAGTAGGCTGCTTTATTCTTGTGCGCAGGATATACTGTACAATATATTCATTCGTTTGATGTGGTTTATATTTCACTTATCACGATTTCATAGTATTAATAACCATTTTACAGTTTTCCATAAGCCATAACAAAAAAGATCTCGCCAAAATTATGGCGAATTCTGGTGCTTTTACACCCAAGATATATAAGGGTTTTAAAATTGGTTTTCAATTATATGATATCGCGCGTTAGCAAAAATTAAAAGAATAGTCATTAACAAGAGAACTTACCATGCTGACAAAAAATAAGGAATATACCAGGAAGAAGAGTGGGATGTCTTCCAGACTTTTTCGTGCATGGATTCTCAAACGTTTGCTTTCCTTTGTCTGCAGCGTATGTCCCTCTGCCACGAACAGGTTTTAGGGAAGGGAAGTTTGCTAACAGCGAGGAAGGATTTACAACAGAATCATCCTGTGGTGCTTCACAATCTTTGAAAGCATTGTCAGCAATATTGAGCAGGTCGGTCAACAAAGGTATGAATTCTGCAGGTGCAAATGAATCACTTAAAGATGAGAAAATGCCAAATAAAGCAGGACACTTTCTTTGCAACAATTCTATATCACTCGGAAATTCTTTAACAGGCACACTTCTTTTAATTTTGTCACAAACACGTCGTAATTCTTCATCAAGAGGGAGAATAGCACAAATAGGGGTATTACAGGAAATGTCCTTTATGAACTTTGAAATACCAATCGGAAAAGCGGCTTCATTACCATAAATCGCAAGGCACCAGTCCAGAAAATTTGCCAGGGACAGTATACTTTGGTGTCATTCGAATTGAAGTGCATTTAGCTTGTTTATATCAATTGCGGATACATCTGTACAAACTCTCTTCAGTGATTTTCTTGTATCCTTCGATTTCACAAAAACTCTGTTACTGTGCCTGGTAAAAAAACAAACAAAACAAATTCAAAGTATGATTTCATTATATTCTTAACATTTTTTTGCAATTAAATTTTATCAGCTTGATAATACTTATCTTCCATGACTGGATTGTGCCGTTGTAGTAGTGGATGGGATGTGTAGAGTTGAACATAAGTTATTTCTATATGCCAAGCTTGTACCGTCACATATGATAATTTCGGGATAACTTTTGCACGTTGGGCATTCAAAACCATCTGTGAAATCAATGTCCAGAAGTTGCAAGAACGCATACCATGCTGATCGCCAATGGTTATATTTTAGCGTATCGTTTAAATTGATGTTCAAAGAAGACTCTAGAGACAACGCCCATGACTGGTAATACGTATTCATGGATACACTGTAAACAAAATACATTAAGCTAAATTGATCTACATGTACAAGGCTGCTTGGTAACTTTTTGTCAAACGTTCGGAAGAACACGAGCACTTTTAATCTTCACCAACCAGTGATATGATGTGAAGTTTATTAAGAGCGAGCTGGGGTGATGATACAATTCTTAAAATACGCTTTTAAAACGTTAATGTAAATCTAAGATGTAGATTTAACAATCCTATTACCTAAAATAACAATTAAGCATATCAATGACTAACCCTCCTTTCAAAAACAAGAACATGTATTCCCTTAGAACTTCATAGGATATTAGGTAATTCCCCATGTTCAGTACGGTGTAAGCATAACTATCAAACTTCATATCATGCACGCAATTTTCCCTGGAGCATGGCCGTTTGTAAACTATAAAAAAGACATTAACGATAATACCCTTCTTTCCAAAGACGTCAATCATGTCTTTATAGTAGCAAATACAAAAAAAGAAACTCGGAAGTTGAAGCTTTTTCTCTTTGAAATTTCTGAGGCAGCCTAATTATGTAATTTCACTGAGAAGAAATAAGAAACCATGTTGCGTATATTCTTGAAACAAATCCCGAAAAATGCCATAAACCATTTTACTTCCTCGATCGCATGGCAACATGCATTAGGCTTAAATTTCCATGTACGCTCATGCTCAAAGCAATCAGTTTACATGTATTGGTTTTGATTATTGCTTGCATAAATATTAATAATTCAAACTTAAACTGAAAACTTTGTAAATGATATTAGAATAACAAGATAAAGAACAAATTGTAATCAATACTAGCATACCTAAACAGTCAAAGATTTTCCTCTTTCCGTACAATTTGACAGATTTAATATACCAAGATTCTTTGTCTCTCGGATCTTCATCTCTAAAATTATTCCCACATAACTGACATGGTTCATCATTTAGGGCCGGAAAAGGGGGGAAAAGAGCTAAAAACATCTTTCCTTCATCGTCCATAACTTCCGGGAGAACAGATTCTGGTCCATTTTGGAAAGAGCGACGTTGACAGCCAAAAAGATTGAAGGGTATCTTCCTCGAGGATACTGGAGAAATCAAACTATTCCCGGAATAGCCTGTAGCAACATCCTGTTCCAGAAAGTCGACGAGGAGCTCAGGAATGTCAGGATCATCCATTGGCCATTGCTTTACAAGCATAACATGTTCACATTGAGATGAGGAACATGGTATACATTTAACTGAGCCATCACGTTGCTTCGCAAGTACACCAATACTGGCAGCGTCGTGCATTGAAATTCCAATTAAACTGTCATTCATCTGAATACCAAACAGGTTTGTGGTACTCTACAGATATAATTATAAAACGTTACTCAGTCAAGGAACTGAAGGAAGATACCTTTAATGGCTTTATAATATCATACTGATAATATATAAATAAATAAATACATAATTTGTACAACAGAATTAGATGTAGAAAGAAAACATAAAAATTACTTTAATTACCTTATATGTATGGTCATTCATTGAACTTTCTTTTTCTTGTTCTTCTGGAGTAATTCCATGTTGTGAGTCATAATCCAGAAGTAAGTGACATATTGCTTTTATGTGAATACACACTGAATTACGGAGATCTAAATTAAGTTAAACCAAGATTTTGTCTGCAATGCACCACACACAAATGTGAATTCCTCACTAAATCCAGACTAACCATATTCAAAATATCATTATAGAATAAAACTTATTATTAGTGTCATGCGAGGATGGAGTGGGGGGAGGGGTTGGGTTGGAGAAAATGGGTAACTACCATGACATTTTCTGGAAAATTATTTGCATTCAGTTTGCTGGGGCATTAAGAAAAAAACACTTATACTCACAGATATATAAAGATTTATAAAAATGTGTACTCATTTTTACAGATCAGCTTACTGGAAGAGGTAGATATAGGCTGTTTTCACAATCTCAAGGATAAAAATTTTGACCCTATGAGCCTAAACATTACATACCAGGACCTAAACATCACTGAACACCTCTATATCTTACAAATTTACTAACAATGCATCCAGATATACTTTTTCCCCTGACCAATAAAACTATCTAATGCCATTGAGTAGCAACAATTGCCACTCCTTGACATCATATTATTTTATTGCACACCTAAAAATCACCATGTTGATGCACATTGTTAAAAACAGGAGTGAACTATGTTGTGCTGCTGCATCCTGCGAACAGTATTGTTAACAATGTTGTTGAAACTTGTTGAGATATCGATGCTGTTGCAACTTGTCACAACAACATTGCATCAACACTGATGATTCAACAAGGTTCAACAACATTAACAATACTGTTTATAGAGTGCAGCGCAACATTGTTCATCCCTGATGCAACATATGGCTGTATATGTTGTGTACTCACAGGATGGTTCCTGCTGTAATAACTTTGACAATCCAGAGAGCAGTTGACTCCTTCTAGGTGAGCATGAACAGCTGTATAGCCAATCATACTGATTGGTAGGTAGTAGCAGCCAGACACTTCTGTGTACCACAATGAAGTTCATTTCCTTCAGCACAATAATTGGTAGTTATTTTGTAATTAATCATTATTGCCAGCCATGTTGCTAACTCTCTTATTCTCTAACAGTATACATATTGTAATAACTAATAAGTAAATACAGGTTTAATTATATATCATCCAGTATTGAAATATGAACTATAAGTATTGAGCAAGATAAAGAGCTTTCTTCTCTCAATGAAGATGCTAATGATCAGCAACACTTGCCTTATTTCATTGCATTGTGCTCTTACCTTTATTCGTTTACTTTCGACGTTAAAGTCGGGCAATACAAATGCGCATTTGGTTACTACAGTTACCATCTCTAACCTAGAAAGCTCAGTAGCATAGGCAATTTCCACATTTGCTTCAGTGTTTTGCACCAGCGATGAATGAGGAGGTTGACAATCAATAACGACTTCTGGCGTTGTATTTTCATCGTACTGATCACATGAAAATTGTGGTTGAGAATCTGAATGACACTCCGACTCCGTCAGGGAAATATTTGTGGAAGATGTAGACCGATCTTCACGAACCATTTGCGAGGTACTTATCCGATGTGGAGCTCGGACTTTTGACTGATCTTTAGCAAGATTCTCTCCAAATATATATTTCCTCTTACCATTTATAACAACAGTTTTCCAAGGCTTCGTCCTTTTTCTCTTCAAACTTTCCGCCATCTTGGTTAGGTCCTGCTGCGCCTGCTTGACCACTGGTCTCCGGTAGATGCCAATGCAGGCGATTAATTTGCATGGTTATGTACCCAGATTCTGACCCATATAATACCTCACATTGGGTGGTGGGTTGGCCCCGCCAGGCAGCCTCGGAAGCCCACTCCCGAAATTTGTCTAGATCAGCTGTGAGATAACCAAATAAAATATTTTGCATGATGTTCGGTATAACTCCATTAGTTCCAAATTGCCACTGCCAGACATTTCGAGTGGTGGATTGACCACGCCAGACAGCCTCGAATTCCCTCACCTCTAGAAAATTGTTCATGATCATCTATTTCTAGATAATCAGCAAATTATATACTTGGCAATATATATATATAATAGTTACCAAAGACTATTGTCAGACATTTCTGGTGGTGAATTGTTTTTAACCCAAAAATTTGAATAACTCATCACAGTTAATAGAAATGAACTTATTAAAGCCTAGACTGTACACAATCGGCCTGAAAAGCAACAGTACAAAATATTTGCAGTCCATTTCTGTCCAACATTACCAATTGTAATCTACACTGCGTCCAAGAATTATATGCAAAATAGTTTTTCCGCTACATTTCATTTGGTTTTTAAAAGAGGATTATGAAATTTCGTATATATTATGAAAACACTGTAACATGCCCACAACTGAAGCTTTTGGCTGATCTGAGCAGTGGTAAACAAACAGCAGCCATTTATGTTTTAAATGGAGATCTTGGGCGTCCATTTTTATATGCAAGATAGGCCGCGGAGTTGAAAAGACCAAAATTATTCAAGCACTACAGCAGAAGCAACCCACCCTTCAAATCGCCAAAATGCTTCAACGCGACCATCGTAAAATCAAAAAATATGCTACAAATCCACAATCCTGCAATGGAAGAGCAGACAAGGGGAAGATTCAGGAAAAGTCAGGTGTGTCTCGTCGGGGAGTCAGTTCACTTAAACGCGAAGTCCACCGTAATCCTCTACAGACCTCCAAGCAGGTCTTCGAAGCAGTTGGTATGTGTAACGTTTCTTAAAGCAGCCGATGTTCCATTCTAAAGCGTAATGCAAAATGTAAGACACCCTTGGTGCGACCTCTTTTAAGGAAAGTTCATTGAGAAAAGACTTGAGTGGACGAAAAAATATGTGAAACAGAACTTTGAGTTGGTGAAAAATATGTGAAACAGAACTTTGAGTTGGTGTTATTTACTGACGAGTCCTGAGCAACCCTTGATGGACCCGATGGCTGGAGAAGAGGATGGTGTGATATGAAAGGATTACCTCCAGTGTTTCAGGCATCAAAAAGGCGAGTTATGTTCTGGGCTGCGATCATCAATGATGAACTTGTCGGCCCATTTAGAGTCGAGGATGGGGTTAAAATGACCACCCCGAAATACATAGCTTTCCTAAAGGAGCATTTTTTGCCATGGTATAAGAAGAAAATTTGGCTTTTCGGAGGAATATGGTTTTTATGCAGGACAATGCTCCTTCCCATACTGCACACTTGACA